GTTCGTTTTTAGGTTCTATCCTTTTTCTGTTGTACGTAAACGACATGCCCTCTTCTATTAAAAAACGGAAGAACAGTTATGTTCGCCGATGACCCGAATGTTCTTTGCAAAAAAGAAACAATAAATAGTACGATATTAGAAGTTTCAAATTGATTTTGTAATAACAAATTAATAATTAACGAAGGAAAAACAGTTACAATGCATTTTTGAATTTGAAATCAGCAATCGCATGCTCCGTTGAAAATGAAAAATATGCAATTAGCTTATGTTAAGATAACAAAATTTCTAGGTCTCTCAATTCAGTCAAACCTCAAATGGAATGTTCATATAACATAATTAAACACTAACTTTAAATTCATTATGTTACGCATTCAGAATTCTTTCGAATTCAGTCAGCCTTCATGCAGCTCATTGCGTGTATTTTGAAAATGTGCATTCCCCCCTGAGATATGGAGTATTTTGGTAAAGTTCATCATGTAGTACCCAAACCTTTAGATTTCAAAAGAAAGATATTCGAATAATGAAAAAATGTCATCCGCGTGATCCCTTCCTCTCTTAATTGAGCTTGAAATCTTATTATTGCCTTGTCTATTTATTTACGAATCTGTAATACTTGTCAAAACTGACTTACTTAACAATGGGAACATATTTTCACGCTATACTGATATTTATAATTACAACACACATCGTAGAAATCACATTCATCAAGTGTCAGTATCATCATCTCACTACCAGAAATTCACATACAATACATGCACATAACTCTATAACGCAATGCCAGATGACATTAAACAACTGAAGTCGGTACACAAATTTAAGTTAAAAGTAAAATCTTTTCTGTTGCACAACAAGAGACCATACTGATAATCAAATAGAAAAATGTTTCTTTTAACAAAACTGTGATGTGTAATGAATTTAGTTTACATTTGTATTGTATAACTTTTTTAATAAGACTTAATATGCTTGTAACGAATAATGTACTTCAGCTTCTGGGTCAATGCCCCTCATCTTGATCAGGTTTTTGTCCAGTTTCTCTCATACATTGAGCAAATGCCCCTTGTTTTGCTTCTGGACGTAAATGTAGCTTCACTATTAGCACGTTTTGTTGAACTTTCCTTTCGCTCGTAATGGTAGGAGTAGAGGTAAGGGAAAATGTCTATTTTGTTAGCACTGCAGAAAAAATCATACTTGCAATTCATTTATCCATGCAAATAAGTTTTCTACAACTCGGAAACGAAAATGTCTAGTTTTCAAATGTCGCTAATCTCGCACTTTTTTTAAAATTTTATTTATTTATTTATTTATTTATTTATTTATTTATTTATTTATTTATTTATTTATTTATCTATCTTTAACTTATACTCATCTTTCAACTATTTATAGTTAAAATGATGAGAAGGGGTTCTGGAACTCAAGAAAACGTGCGCAGAGTATCTTCTTCCCCATACGACACATACAGTTTTTACTGTTTTTTGACTAAATAAGTCTAATCTAATATAATAATGCAAAATGCAAAAGCGTTTCCAACCAGCATTTTTACTCCGCGCTGAGATTCGAAGTCTAGTCCTTAGAGTTAACACGCCATTCACGTTACACTTACATCACCAGCCTAACAGATATACTGAACCTTCCCGACGGTTAAAAAAGGTTAACATTTACACTTGTAATTATAAAAAGTTTAGAGAAATTCATTTATATTATTTCATGATTTAGTTTTAAAGAACTTGTATAATTAAGGAAATAAATCCCTGTAATCAATAGTGTAGTTTTGCAATGTTAATTTTTTGTTTGCAAGTTTTTAAAAAACAAAGTTTACCAAAAAATGAGAGCTGCGCTATTTTTAAACGTTATTTGCTCTATCCGAGGGGGGGAATTAAAGAAAAAATTTAGAACCGGTTTTGCGAACTTTTTTTTTATAAATTGCTAACTGTTAACTACGAGCAAAAATTACAAACAAACTGCGGTCAAAAAATTAAAAAAATTCTTAATTGTCTAACAATTTGCGTAAAAAGGTTAATTGAAATGCCTAACCACTCATCTTAACATCAAACTAGTTGTGAACATTTCGCTCAGGTAATACAAAATTACTACTACCACTTTTGAAGGACTGGATTTTCTTTTAATATCCCAGCAAAGCGGGTGATTAATGCTTGTTACTAAGGTAACAAACAATGCTGGGGTGCCAATAAACCAAGGTCTTAATTTTATTTATTTTGAAACTCAAACTCATTACCCATACCTTTGTGCAAACTTTCGTTAGACCAACATATTTCAGTAAGCCCCCTACTATTTGTAACAGTTTGTCGAGAGGCATATTTAAGGCTAATTTCCAAGAAGTCTCTTTTTACTAGAAACAATTTCATGTGATTCTCAGGATAGCCGAGTCGTACAGTAGCACACTATACTTGATTGTGAAATAAACAGGTCCTCGCTGGATAAACCCGTTCCCCTATAAAATGTCAGTTTTAGTCTCACTTTTGTTGAGCGCCAAAGAAATCTCAAAAAATGTTAAATGCTGCAAAGGTGGAAAGAAAAGCAATTGAAAATTTGTATAAAGATAGCGTTTCAGTTTATCTACGCAAAAATATTTTGAAAAAGAATTGGGAAACAGTTCTATTATATGAGTAATTTATTTCTTAGCAAAATAAATATACCCAACTGAAGGGCTACAAAATACGGAAAGTCGTTTTTTTTTTTGCCGGAAGCATCCTCTGCATTTCCAAAATTTCTGAAGTGTTTTAAGCACAAGTAATGGTGAAGAAAATCTGTCACCTTAAGAAAGTATGAATGGGTGGCAATGGGAGAAATGTCTAGGAAAAAGAAATCAAGAAACTCCGGTAGTGGTTTTCGCAACAAGACTGTCAAGACTTCTCAAGATCTCGATACTCGAGTTTCCATTTACTTCTTACATGTGTAAGAAGATTAGATGTTAGTATCGATCTAAATAACTTAATTAGAGGTCCAAAATTTTGGTAATGGTAAAGTTAACACGAAAAGTTAAAACTCAATAGAACCATTCACTAAGATACAATACAATTATGTTATAATAACCACTCTCATCTGGTATTGGAACTTCCACAAACAACAGATTGGGCAATACAAACCGCAAATGAGTTTCAAAGACGTATTTTCTTCTTCGAAATGTTGTCCCCTCCAATCTCATCACACGTAATTTACGGTGACAAAGTGGATTTGAAACTATACACCCGTTTCCGCTTATACTACTACATTCTCTCATTCTACTGTCAAATTCCTTTATGTAATCCAGAGCGCGGGTACATCACAACCAATGAAATGAAATGAATTAGAGTACCCAGTTGATAGAGAAGGAGCATTTGGCTGATACTGGAAACTGTAAGTAGACAGCAATCGAATGTACTCGACTCGCTCTGAGGGAAGACGCGAGACAGAATATGTTAGACAGAAACACAGCAATTGGGATCGCCCAACTGCAACCCGTTGTTTATTTTCCCTCTTCCTCGCGTCCCAGCTAATACTTTCAATTTTCGTTATCTAAGAAGGCGTAGCCTGACTGCATCCCTTTTCTTCCGTCCGGTATTTCGGTATAAGTAATCATATTTTATTGGGAATCGTCCGACTGCATCCCGCGGTCGGTTTCCCCTCACTCCCGCTTCCCAGTTTATCCCCTTTCACCTTTCTTTACCAGAGAAGACAGACCAATTGCATCCTGTTTCGTTCATCAGATGTTTTGGAAGAAGTAAATATTTTTTGTTAATTTTTCATTCATAAGTAGCGTACATACATACTTCTAACATCACTCGAGAGAAAACTAAGGACACAGTGAGCATGGCAGAAACGTTGGAAATGTGTATGTTAAGTCAGCGAGGTAAGAAGATGCTCGTGATTTCATGTTTTGTTTTCACACACTTTTAGGCGGTGTTTTCCAACATTGGCAGTGTTCTAAAAGAACATGTAAATATTTCTTAAAATACGTAAATTATAATCGGTTAATATGATTCTAAGCTGCACAGATACATGTAGATCTCAATCCTCATACTAAGGAGGAAAACGAAACGGGTTGCACCCGGGCTATGGTTTTTTGGCCAGGAAGGTAAACGACCGAGTAAAAGTTGGCACGGGATGCAGTCGGTACCCGACCACGGATATAGCTTTCGTGCCGCTATTACTACATTTCCAGGATTCGTCTCTCTGAAAGGAGTGGACGCACCTTCCCTCTGCAGCTGACACTTCTCTGTCGACGTTCAGTCTTGCTGTTGCTTTGCTGTATCGCATGTGCGTAAGCATAGTCATCAGTAGGGAGCCGATTTCATTGAAATGTTATTTTCTTTCTTTTCACTTTACATACTTTTTGGAATAGACATTAATTTTATGTTATGAGAAAAGGAAATGACCCATTTTTATATGACATTTTTTGCATCATTCGTCGATTTTGACTAATAAGCCATTTTTTACCTTTTTGCGTCATTTTAATGCATTTTTTCGCAGCTTTAATCGAATCTATTATTTTAATAATGGTACTTGCTTCAAATAATATTTACAAGGAGTAATAATGTTCTCCACAGAGTTCCTGAAGAGCCTATTCGATTTCTTTGCTGAGAAATTGTTAGCCGTTACGAGTATGTAATCTGAGGTTCCTGTGACAGTGCTGATTCGATAGATTTCGAGATAACTGAAGACAACAATTTTCTGGTAAAGAAAAATCCGATTCAAAAGTTTGCAAACAGAGTTTACTTGAACGACAGGAAGAAGTCTCGATTACATCAGTAACATATCCAATAGCTGAGTTGTTCATGTGAACTGGTTGAATTGAATTGAATTGAATTGAATTGAATTGAATTGAATCGAATCGTAACGGTCATCGAGTGATCGGAATGCGGAATCGAATTGCGAATCGTGATGTGCATCGCATCGGATAGTCGAATTGCGAAGCGATTCGATCCGTGATGTCGGATCGGATCGGAGTCCGGCATGGATCGCGGTCGATCGCAGTCGCATGATCGGCATCGTCCTCGCATCGCATGCCTGTGGATCGCATCGGAATGTCGCATCGGATCGCCATCGGAGCACATCGGATTCGAGCTATTGCGGTTTCTGCATCGCGGATCGCATCTGTATTTCGTTTGCGATCGGGTGGGATTCTGGTGGGCATATCTGTGAAGTGCATCGGTGTTGAACGTGGGTCTTGTGTGGGATCGGGTGGAGATCGGTGGGATCGGGCCTGGGATGGGAATCTGAATTGAAGTTGAATTGATGCCTATTTTGCGTCGCAGACTCAGGCTATCTGGCCCTCTCTCCGTCTGGACCACGCAAATTTCTCTACGCTCCTTTCACCAACTAGCAGAGAAGAGGTATTTCTTTGCGAGAAACGGGGACGATTTTGAATTTAGCTCAGAGGCGACATTTAGGCTTGAGGATTCTTTTACATCAAGTAAATCTACAAACATGGGACAGCCGGCTTTACTTCCCCTCCGAAGGAAGGCGTACGAAAGGTTTTTTTCGCCCTTAAAAATCCACGGCTTCGATCGGGTTTGAACCCGCCAACTTGGGTACACCAGTCCAATACCAAGTTGTACCAAGTTTTGATGGTAACATTTTTTGTAATTTATCTTTGCTTTTAGGGCATTTTTGAAACATTTTAAGATCATTTTATTGATAATTTCTGGCGATGTTTTCGGTCATCAGAATCCGCCCTGTAGTCGTCATCCGCAGGCCGTGCGTCGCAAGGGGTGCTGGGTGGATGAGCTTCCGGGGTCGTGGCGCGGCGTGGCGCCTTGAGCTCCCCTCGCTCGCTGTGACTTCGCGCGCTGGCGCAGGTGACTCAGTCGCAGCGCGGCGCCAGGTCGGCCGGCGCAGGGATTTCCGAGCACCGCATGACGCGTCCGGCGGACTGCTCCTTACAGCAAGGTACCGCACAGCCGCTGACGTCAGCACAATAGGGCGGGAAGCTGAGTAAGTGAAAGCAATTAGTTTCACAAAAGAGTTTCGGGGACGAATAAAGGTATCGAAATATTTGCGAAGTAAAATGAATACATTTAGACCATGCAAGCAAGTTTAACGAATATTTTATTCTTTAAATGTAATAAATGTTTGACAGGTAAAATTAAATTCCTCTGTTGCTTACACGAAACGAAAGTAGAAAGTAAAATCAGATAAAAAATGTATTAGTAATAATTTTATGAAAATAAACATATTTTCTGACGAGATGTTACGAGCAATGCATTAAATATCATTATTTTATCACAGTAGTATATTAGTTGATCATGGCTTCACAGAATGAACGAGATATTTACGTAGCACGATTATTAATGTACTAAACATTAGTGATGTTATAAATTATGAAAAGTTTCAGACGGAAATTATTATATAAAATCTAATGGTGCTATAAAGTGATACAGACGTTCTAGTACTAGATAGTTTCCTTTTCTCTTCAGCGTCTAAACATTACCAGGGCCTCTCAAGATACCTACCGTTCCTCTGGGTTGCAGCACCTTCACGCACACCGAACATTGAATATACCTATCTCGGTCCAGTGCCTTTACACATTTCCCCTTGATATTCCTTCGTTTCATGCTTGTACCATTGTCCTGGGTGTGGGACTCGGTTCCTCAGTTAAACACATTGCTGGAGATGTAATACACAAGAAATTTGAAATTAACCTATCGCTTCAATCACAACTGAAAACATTCATGACTTACTGTTGGTTTCGAACCCACAGCCTTAGAGTCCAAATTCTTTGGCTCTCCTACCATAATTCCAGTCTCACGAGACCGAAACACTTGATCGTATTAATTGTAAACGCGATACGTCTTTGTAAAAGAAGAATTCTACAAAATCAATAAAATAAATTAAACTGAGTTTTTTTATGCTTACGTACCTTTTAATGTGTTTTGTAACATTGAATAGTAAAAATAAACTAACTAAATGAAATGTTACGTAGAATAATAATTACAGCACATATCAGTTAACACAATGGTTCAGTTTGCTTTCGAGTAATATTTATATTAATAAAATCATGTTTCATTAAATAATATTTGTCACATTATCTGAATTTTTAGGTTCCCTTAGAGTAGAATGGAAACATGACTTTACGAATATTCGAAACTAGTGCGTTAAGCAAGTTAATAAAGCCAACAATTAAAACATCACATTATTAAAGAACTTATTGTAGAGACGAAATTTCAATTTCAGAAAATATATTCTATCTTTAATAATGTAGTTGTACGTTGCGGTCCAAAAAATTTCAAACTTTTGATATTTAGAAAATTCAGACTTAACAGTGAAAATCAATCAAATCATTATAAGTAAGCATCACTCTGTTCTCACAGGAAAATTACAGAAAAAATTTGAAGCTATATTTGTGAAAATTTTGAAACTGCCTTAGTGGTTTGTAACATATCTTAAAATTGCAAGAATTATTTTCAAAACCACATAGCTGAGTTGGGGAAGTTTGATTGGGAAATATTAATTTCGGAATAGTCCTACGAATATGTTAGACGTTCGCGGATTTGTTAACATACGGACAGAAGGACAGACAGGATGTTTTAGAAAACCTAATGGTGCTACTACAACACATACTTTCGCTCATCATTGGGAGCGCTCACGTACTGTTGTATTGCAGAAATTTCTGCCTACGGACACTTCAGCCATCAACATACACTGTAGTCTTTCACGGTCGGTTTCTTCATAATTAGAAGTTTCCGGTTTGTAGCACGTGCCGCGTTGACTGAGCGCTGCCAAGAACACCTCGCCCCCGCCAGCAACGCCACGGATGATGCCTGCCACAGTTGCAGGCGAGACGTATGGACCAGTCTTCGTTGGACTACGGCCTACAAACCCGGAAAGTCTAGTTATGATATACTTCAGCCATCATTTGAAGTCCAAACCATTTCAAACGAAGCCCCTGCGGAGCAAATCTTCACATATTTCGACAGTCAGAACCATTTGTCATTTCTTACTTTTATAAAAGATACAGACATTAATAAAGCGCAAATGTTGCAGAATTCGCAGCACGTTATACACATAAGCAGGAATAATTTCTCACAAACTTGCCTTGGTTATAATGAAGTGCGCATACACTTTTTAAAGATTGAACCATAATCATCGATCAAACCTTTTAAGGTAAACGTCTATAAATTAAACAGCTAGAGCTGAAAGCCAGCCAATATTTATGAATGTACAAAAAAGGTTACAAAATCTAATGCTTTTATCTGTTAAATATTATATCTGCAAATCAATAGAAACATTTGCATGAAATTAATTCTTTTAAAGCAAATTGATCATCTCAAATTCATCAATCAAAACTTGCATATAGCGTTCCATACAGCAAGAATTCTCTAAATTTCAAAAAATGATGGACTTGGTGGTTTAGGGCATCATCTGATGTCACTGCAGAGCCTCAACCGGGGGAACGTAGAGTTCGAGCCTGAAAGGTGGCAAGATTTTCGACGCCAGCTAGACAGCTAGGTCGAAATCAGCCGTGTTGTTTTCCGTGGTTTATCTGATCAATACCAGACGAATACCGGAGCAGTACCCTAAAAGTCGGGACACGGATCGTTCGCGATATTTCCTTCCTCTTCCTTGTCCTATCCTCACTTACACACACATACACTAAACCACCACACAAGCCGGGAAACCAGTTTGGAATCTAGAGCTTCTCCTGGTTGGGGGCGGGACCGCATGAGGGATTCCTGCTTGAGGAAAACCCTCGCAAGCTGACGTATAAGCGAGTGGCTCCCGTTCAGTGAGGACCTACGTTCGTTACATCTACGTCATGACCGGACGCGGCAAAGGTGGCAAGGGTTTGAGCAAAGGAGAAGCGAAGCGCTACAGGAAGTTCTTCGGGACAACATCCAGGGCATCATCAAGCCAGCTATTCGTCGTTCGGCTCGTTGTGGAGGTGTGAAGCGTATCTCCGATCTCATTTACGAAGAGACTCGCGGTGTGCTCAAGGTTTTCCTCAAGAACGTGATCCGCGACGCAGTCACCTACACCGAACACGCCAAGCACAAGACTGTCACCGCTATGGATATCGTCAACGCCCTGAAGCGACAAGGACGTACTTTGTCCTTTTTCGGCGGCTAAGCTGTTTCTGGTCGCTCAACAGAATATATTTCTTGTTGTCGTCGACGGCAACGAAAGAAATCGTGTAGGTCGGAGCCGGATATCACTAACCAGAGGCGGAAATCACCGCCACATCTCACATAAAATTGCAATACTCTTACTGGGCTAATGCTCTTAGCAGTTGACCTGTCCGAAATCGCCATCAATCTGAATTTCAAACTACGGTGTCAAATTGGGAGTTGGCGTTGTATTGCGGGAAGATGAGTAGTGAAACTCTGTTTTCTGCAAATCACGCTCGGAAAATTCGAATTTGTGAAATGTCTCGATCATCAAAACAATTAAAAAATTCCTTTTCAAATATTATAGTTTTGCAATGTTAATGTTTTCAAATTTTTGAAAATAAACAGCGTTCACTGAGAATGAGCGCTGCTTCTTTTTTATACGCGTACTTTAATATATTCGAGAAGAATGTAATAAAAATACTTGAGTCGTTTTTGAGAAAATATTTTATTGCATTTACTTCAAGCAAACATTATGCAAATAACACTCGTTTTTTCAAAAAAAAATTACCAGATTTTATTTAAAGATCTGTTTTTAGAACATGCGACATTTAGACAATGCGAGTTCTTCTGTCTAATAATCCTTGATTTTTTTCGCAACATTGCAATTTTTTCTCTGTACTAGGTAAGCAGTATGCGAGAAATTAAATATAAAACTTAAATCCTATTTTGGAATGTAATGGTTTGATAACACATAATTCACAAACAAAAATAAAGTCGTCGGTTATAGGTTTTATTAGTAGCGGAATACATTTTAAACCTTTGACGTAGAATTCTCTGAAGCAATCTGGGTAGAAAATCGTGTGAAAAAGTCACACAGGGCTCAAGAGCTGTGTCAGTGTAATGTGACGACAATGCAAGTTTTTCGCTTCTGTATGTATCCAGTTCCAACCAGCGCATTTGCCTGAATAAAGAAAAAATTGCAAATATGAGAGTTTACTCCGTTCCATTGATATTCACGAAAAAAAAAGCCGCTGTACACCCAACTCTATAGTCATACATCTGATTTTTACTTTTTCGTCTTTTTACGTACCTATGTAAAGAAGAGAAAATTCAGTAATCCTACGGTACAAATCGGCGATTTTTCGACCGCTTCTCATATTACTGAACCCTGGTATTGAAAACGAGGATAAATCTTGTGTATAGTGTATGTAGTAAAATACTTCCTCTATCTAACATGTTGTGTAGCCCGAATCCAAATTTGGGGGTCCTTCATCCTGAAAGTGGGTTGGCGACTACGGAAAGCCTTCAGACGATTTTCTTCAAAGTTGATGTTCCGTCATCGATCTGGCTGGCAAGTTCGATGTTTGTGAGTACTTCATTTTCAAACTTCATTTCCGAAAAATGGCTCCAATATTTTTAATTCAATGTTTCCACCAATGCACCGCAAAGAAAAAAAAACTTACATTTCATTTTGGTTGAAACCTTTGAATTTTTGAAAATACTTTTGGTGACTTCATACGACTAAATCATTGAAGACAGATATTTTACCCTTTACAAAATATTTTATTCAAAGATATATATTTAAGAAGAGAAGTAATTGGGAGAAACAAACTAATAAATTATCTCTAAGTCAATATTCTTAACATAATAATTAATAATACGTAATAACAAATATGAAAATATTAATATACTCTTAGGTTACCTAATAGAGGGAATTTAATATTGACTAGAGCAGTATTCAATATTAAATAATGTTCCTATAATTATAAATTAGTAAATTGTTTTATGTGATACCTAATGACCTTTAGCCACAAAATAACTGTCATACAAAATCATTGACAACTAAAATGGAATTTTGTTTGACTGAGGTTTAAACGAAAATAAATTATTTATTTATAAACGGAATATTTCTCCACATTGCCCTCTTATTTAGGTCTAGTTTCATTATTTCCTTTTCGTATTGAAACACAGGCAGTCGGAAATGTTCCGAGTTTCCTACTGTTACGAAACTCAGAGGCCGTATAGATATAGTAAGACAATCAAAGATAAGTGAGGAACAAGCAAAGGTTTAGCATTTCCCCATTCCTTTATTGTATCATTTACAGGTAATCAAAGATGGCGAATGCACGATGACCCGTACACGCTATCCTCTTCCCGCGTAGACATCGCGGTGGCTGTCGTTCGCATTAGCCCGACGTCATCCGTGTTTACCAAAGCCTTCCTTTAAGGAAGGTCAGTAGCGCAGCGGGCCGGCGCGCGGGCCGGCGCGGCTGGAAAGCGAGCAGGGGGCGGGGCCGGGACTTCTCGTCGAGGAGAGGGGGCAGAGGCGGGGCACGGTCTTCACGCGCGCAGCCGGCCGGCGCGGCGCCGGCAGTGCTCGTTCCACCACGTTGCGTGGAGCGGCGAAGTCTGGGCGTAGTGCAGCGCGCGCTGTGCGGTCGGGATGAGCGGTGCGTCCGCGTGGGTGATGGTGCTGGTGATGATGTTGGTGCTGGCGCGTGCGGCCGAGGAGGAGGTGCGCGCCGTGAACAAGTGCTGCGCGGAGGGGCAGGTGCTGGACGCGGTGGGCGAGTGCACGCCGGCTCGCGAGGGGGTAGAGCGGGCCCCGTGGCTGGACCCGGCCGCCCTGCCCGCCGGTGCGACCCGTGGGTGGCGGCCGCTGCCCGGCTGGCCCGGTCGCCCTTGCCCTTGGGAACTCACCGCCATAGCGCTCGCCACCACGCCCGGACGCAACTTGAAGGCGCGTCTCCTGGCCAACGCCTCTCTTCAGGTTAGCTTAGGCTAATGTTATCTACAGGCTGCGTATTCGGCTTATTTACACTTTTCCTTAAATATATATGCATAAATAATGATTGTTTGATTGATTGGTTGATTGATTGATGGATTGGTTGATTGATTGATTGATTGGTTGATTGATTGATTTGTTGATTGATTGGTTGGTTGATTGGTTGGTTGATTGGTTGGTTGATTGGTTGGTTGATTGGTTGGTTGATTGGTTGGTTGATTGGTTGGTTGATTGGTTGATTGACGTTTCTTTGCTAAGGTCAATGATTCCACTAGTGTACAATAAGTTCGTTAGTCCCGTAGGTGTGATGTAGTGTTTGTGAGGGTGGGGTGATCTTCCCTTGTTGGATGGCGAGTTTCGGCGCCGACCTACACGTCCACTTGCGTGGTTTTTCCAACCAGGTATCTCCCAGCAACGAGGCACCGTCCCGGCTAGAACAAGCTTTATGCTTCCGGCATGTGTGGTAGTGTAGTGCATGTAAGTGTGCGAAAGAAAGAGGTGAGGTGAGGATAAAGAAGAGGACGGAAAGTTCGCGCGCGGTCCGTGCATTGTTAGTTTGGGTGTTGCTCCTGCATTCGTCTGGTGTAGATCTAACAAAACCATGGAAAACTACCGATTAGAGCATCCGGCTACTTGGCTTCTCCTTGAGAGAGCGGCTGAATTCAACTTAAATATCTAGCTTATGACGAAAATCTTACCAACATCGAGACTCCAACCCTAGGACTTCCCCGGACAGAAACACTGCAGTGACATCAATTGATGCCTCACCAAGCTGACATGCATAAAGAAAACAAAAACTCATTTCTTAATGTTTGGAATCAATATGATAAGTCTTATTACCCATATTTCGGCATATTTGTGACGATTTTACATACTTGTACATTAAGAGCACATGTTGACATATTTAAAAATGTTTGTACAATAAATACGAGTTGTTTTATTTTCTTTGTAAAATGTAAACCACGAAATCACTTTCGAGTGTGCGTCTTTAATGTTTGAATTGCATGGAACATTTCATCAGGTTGTCAGTATCGTGATTTTTCTACGCGACCGATCTGCGCCGATCCCCTCTGACTGTGTCGAACTCTTTCCTGATCGCTCACCGTCTTGCCAAACACTCGGTTACGTAAAGACAGCGGGGGCTCTTCAGGTTCTCTGTCCCAGAATGTTGCGTGTATCGTCGGTGCACAAAAAAAGGGGCATTATAAAACTTTCATTTTGCAGAAGAACGGTTGGGACATTATCCAAAATCTGAAGCTTATTTACATTTTCAAATAATTTTTATTATGCGAATATTGAATGCGAATATGAAGCGAATATTTTCATATTACTTCTTATCAAAAACACTCGTTCCTGCCTGCTTTCGTAATTCAACTGTAAGAGCTAGAAGAGGTAGTCTTGAGCTAAAGAAAAACGTGCACAGATTGCACATCTCTTCATAGTGTGTCACGCAGCTTTTAAATATTTTCAGATGTTAAATGAATTTCAGATAAACAAATGTATCTGTACACGGAAAATATTAAATACTCAGTTCTACAGATGCTTTTATCTTTCAAAACAAATTCTGCCACTAAGAAATGTAAACATAACACGGTTTGCACATGGGAAGAACGCAGCTTCACCGAGCTCACATCTTTTGAGCGACTTCGGTAACACATTTTTTTGGATATGATCGAATGTTTGTTGCTGAAAATTCCAAAAGGTAACTCTGTATTTCCGGCATTCGGCAAAGTGTGCGTCCGGGCGAGACATCCCGGAAATATTCAAGGTGACCACAAAAAGGAAATATTTGCTGCCGGGGAATATTTCTGGTTCTTGTGCCAACATAATTGAAGAAAGATGTTCTTTATCCTTTAAAAGGGCATGTCTCTATTTATACACTTTATTTCTGCATGTAGACTACAGTTTAAAACTCGTAAATTTTTCGCCAAGAATGAGCTACAATGCAAACTCTCTGTAAGGAAAGATCTGAAACGAAAAATTACCTAACGACCTAAATGTTACTTCACTTCTGCTGATTTGCTTTTTTTATCAGATGCATTGATGCACACTCTCCTTATAACAAAAACACTTTACTATAAAAGAATGTTCGGGTTCCCGAAAGTTTCGGTCTAAATAATTCACTTTGTGCTTTCTTCCTAATCATTTGAAGTAGAGGAAATGTCTATAGAATGCAAGATTTTGCCTGATATACCAGAGCAAGGGACTACCTTAGTTCGGCACACTACGCTCACCGATGAGTCATTGCCAGCGATGTTGTTAAACTTGTGGTGAAAAGTAGCCTGGAGAGTCGAGATCGCTTAGTCGGGTGCATCATACGAGCATCGGTCCAAAAGATTGGAATCTCGGCATGGATGTTTGTTTGAGTGTTATAGCGTGAGTGGGATCCCTAACCACTGTATCATCTTTCAATCTTCTTCCCGTTATTTGCCACTTACAGCACACCATTTATCACCCTTAAAGCTAAATCCTTCTCGTAAGTCCTTTCCCTTCCCCGGGATATTGTGTGAGCGTGAGTAAGGTCAAAGACATGATGTACGGATCAAGCCGCTGCAACAGCGCCGTCTAGGAGTGAACTGGTTCCCTTCCTCCAATACAGAACTAAGCCTCCTTGATATAGTATCTAGGGGGTGTTTGGTGGGGTCATGGGATACATTTATGTATGTACATTTATGTAATACATTTATTATGTATTAAAATGTACAATAATCTATTTAGGCTCACGAGACACATCGGTGCAATGGTTGCAAGTATGGTGGATGTATAAATAGTTTGTATAAGTAGGAGCTATCGCCAATAGCTAATAGAAGATTTGAAATATGAATGTTTTAAAATTAAGTGTCCCATGAACGTTACAGATTCAAACATACGGAATAGAAAAACCAAATATGTACCCACAGTTTCAGTCATCGTATTTGGTTCAGTCTTTACTTTTACATTTACAATCATGGGTATTGTAGGCAAATCCATTTGACTGGTTAGTAGAAGATATATTTGATTTATTTAGCTTTCACGGATGCATATTTCATTAAATAGATAATTACATTCTACATTGTTTACATCTACTAATGATATAATGAATTAACATTTAACACTAATTTTTCTTATCATAATATTGTATTTTGAAAAGTAAGTTAATAAATAATGCAAATCAAAGTCTATTTTTATCGAAGTCTATTATTTTCCTTTAGAATTTTACTGAAATTAATTTCTAAATTGTGTCCGTTTTATCTTTTACTCTTTGGATTTTGTTACTAAATTTCCTGCTATCTGAATTTAAAAATAAAAATATACGTCTTATAATGAATTCTATGTTTTATTGACATACTCGTCGAGTTTCTAGCATGTCTAGGACTAGAGTAGCTATTGCATGAAATGATTACCTCATGGCTCTATGCTGTATCTGGATATTTTTTAATTTCTTTTTTTCTCTAAACATTATTATTGCACAATAATCTGCGTGTATAAGAACGGGGGAACCAAGGAACGTCATTTTATAGGGGAGAGAGTGAATGAATAAAACGGGTTTTACATTTCACTGTTTATTTTATTCTTGCATTACATAGGGGATAAAAATACTCTTTTAAAACGTATTAACTCGTATTAAAATGTTTTAACTCGTATAAAAGGTCAGAAATCTGTGTTACATTGAGAATAAAATGCATTTTTATGAGTGGCAAAAATCCCATCCCTCCCAGTGTGAAGGTAGAATGAGACATAATGGCAGGAGGAATGTGACATCCATTTGAGCACACTGAAAATGCAAGAAATTACTAATAAATCCATGTATTTTTGATTTTTTAAAAGTGATATTCACACATATATGGCTCAAAAATAAATTTGTAGATATTCATTGATTTTGAAAAAACGTCTTTCGTTGAAACGTCTCCTTTTATGCCAGTATCGCTGATGAGTTGACTTCAAATCCTTGTATATTTGGCACTTCACTTATTGATTTACCATACACAATAGCATTTAATGCAGCTTTAATTTGATAATCAATCTCTCTTTTATTCTTTCGGTTTTACTTTTTCAAAAGTGTCCCATTCCATTCTGAAAATTTAATCAATTTAAATTAAATATTAAACTACTTACGTACAAGAAGGGCATTTGGGACCCACAATGTGTTGTTCAAGAGTATCCCATCCCTCCTGCATTTTCATGTCTCAAACCTGCTGTAAAGTCCCTCTTAGACCTTATGAAATCTAAAATCCTAATTGACAAAACATGCTTGCTTTTTAACATTAACACTGAAGCAATCTTTGCTCCTTTTATAACATAAAATAGTTTATAGTAGCAAATTATGTTTAATGCTTAAATTCTCCCTGAAAACAATATTTCTACTTCATCAAATTTAATAATTTCTGATACATTGAACAAACGCGTTTTCTCATTCATCATTTATTCCTAGAAGATATTGCCAAGTTTCGGGATCAAATGGGAAGGTATTTTACAAAGTGATGTTATTTTTTTGCCCTAAGGCTTTTTCCAGCCGACTGCCGGTAACTCTTTATGTCCCGATAGGACGCATATTCGACCGTACACTAGACATCAAAACACTTGCGGTCTCCTCAGATATGGGGCCAGCAAATCGCGTGGCCCTCGCGACAACACATACATGATAAACAAGGGCCAAACAACCATGCCCAAAGTGGGACTCGAACGCGCGACCCTTCGGACCGAAGCGCTGAATCGGTACACGCTCTTATCTACCTTGGCCATCGCGGTCGGCGGCTTGTTATTTTGAATCTCCAAAATCTCCTGCGACCCTTCCCCCCTCTCTCTCCTTCACATATGAGCTCCTTTACCCATTTGAACAATTACTTTTATCGGTCACATGCGTTTTTAACCCTTGTTAACAGGCAACCCTATGTTTGTTTAGTGCACTTGTACCTACCTGTAGGTTTAGACATTTCAAATCCTTAGCACCGGATTTTAACATCCTTAGTAACCTAAATAAACAACCACCCATTCATCGCAAGTCAACATTATTAAGAAAAAATCACATGGTAATTTACAAGACAAATAGTAATCAATTGTGCTTTAAATTTTTCAGGGATTAAATCTCGCGCGGCTTCCGTAGCTGCATCCAAAATTTCTTGAGCTACAGACGAATTTTCAGCGTCCATCTTCCTTAAGGCTCGGTATTGTTGAAATTTATATTTCGCAAGGAATACCCAGCAATATCGATTATCGTGCTGCAACAACAGAATTCATGTGTTTCATATCGCAGTCATGTTGTAAATTGTATTAGAAAAATTGAGATTTTATGGTGACCGATAAAACGCTGAACATACCACGAAATGTTAGTGTTATTACTTCCTCGTCCAAATTAAAAATCTCTGCTCTGCTACGCTCCGCCTCGATTTTTAACTTTTGGCATCGGCAGCAATAACACTCATAACTGTATTTACTTGGCTGTCCGGGTGACGCCGCGTCCATGGCGAAGGTGCCGACGTTTCGGTCGCCATTCTGCAATCTTCCTATCACCCGTAATGCGACCTTCCTCAGGGCATTACCCCTGGAAGCCGAAGACACGAAACTGTCGGCACCTTCGCCATGGACGCGGGCACCCGGACAGCAAGTTAAATACCGACTCCGGCCCGGAAGCCTACGCGAACACTCATAACATTTCTAGGTATGTAATGCGTATAATTGTCCCCGAGGCTAAAGGCGACCAGGCGCGTGCGTTCCCTGTGCAGTGTGTCGCCGCCGGGCGTGGCGGCGACGCTGCCGGCCGCCGCGTTCTGCGCGGACGCGTGGACCCGGCGGCGAGGGCACGCGCGCGGACCCCTTCGTGGCGTGCGCGTGCGCGAGGGCGGGCGCCGCGTGCGTGCGCAAGTGCTGCCGCGAGGGCCACGGCGTGCTGTCGCGGCCGGCCCGTCGGCAGCTCCTCCTGCGAGCCCGAGCCGCCCGCCGCCGCCCTCTGGCGCCCGCGGGTCGCTCCGCTCGCGCACGCGGGGTAAGCGAAGGAATGACACGGAGTGTGAATGAAATCAGTGTATTCATGAAACAAGGAATTACATCAGAGTGTGAATGAAACAAGGATGAAATCTGTGAGTAGAGGAATCAAGGAATTAAACGCATGTATGGATGAAACAAGAAATCAAACCAGTGCGTGAATGACATTCAGAATGAAATCAGAGAATGAATAAGACACAATGAAATCAGTGTATGGAAGAATCGAGGAATGAAACCATTGTGAGACTAAAACTAGTGAAACTAGAGTAAGAATGGATCGAGGAATGAAAGAACTATATGAATGAATTGAGGAATGGAACGAGTGTACGAATGAATCAAGGAATGAATTCAGTGTATAAACGAATTAAATCTGCATGAGATTTCTAGACTCCAATCGACGGGGACTGCTGTTAATGCCACTCATCAGATATTATAATTATTATTATTATTATTATTATTATTATTATTATTATTATTATTAATTGTAATAATAAGAATGTCTAGTTATATCTTATACCAGTTACAAATTACCGCCACCATCACTAGTTACGTAATACGGTGGTCTAGCTAGAAATAATTTCCATCTCGGTTAAATAAATTTTATAAATGAATAAGTGTAATAGCTTTTTAAATATTTCAATTCTTACATTTGCCACTGTCATTGTTACAGCGAATTGCCTATAATATTGTACTACTAATCACAATGCATGGCAGTACACAATGAAACCATGTATCATATACATGAGTTGTGCCCTTAAGATTGCTGAATGGCCGGGCAGGCAATAGAGGCGAGCGGAAGGAATCAATTTCGTGAAGAATTAACGGACGCGCGCCTAGAGTCTACTCGCAACGAATGAAGGAGAGCTCCACAACTGTTTTGTTTGCTCGCGGTGCTTTCAACCTTTGGACGTACTTATGCTCTAGGGGCGTTTCCTCCTCGATACCGCCCGAGTAAGTACTCGTAACCCACTACTTTACGGAAATACGTAGAGGATCGTGACTGAATCTATATAAATAAAATATGACGTTGGAATATTAAGATAAATATTAATGTTTATAGGAATCATTGTATAATCAAGCAATGTAATAATTTTAACTATTGGTGCTTCAATAGCATATAAATTCTCATTTTTTGTAACTTTTGAAAATGTTGAAATTTAGAGAGGTCAATGAAAATTGAACCCCTTTTATATGCGTGTTTTGCTCTATCCTAGAGAAAAAATTTTGAGCTGTTTTAAAAACGATTTTGTTAAAATTGCCTTTACTTCAAACAAAACTTACGATATAACGTTTCATATTATCAAAAAAAGTATACTTGATCTCATTTAAAGATGTCTTTGAGGAACAAATTTAATTTAGTAAAAAATCTCTGTCATCAATATTGTAGATTTACAACGTGATATTTTTATCGGCAAAGTTGACTCCCGTAATCAACTGATGCCACTGCGGTGCCTCTGATCTGGAGGTTCTAGGTTTCAAATCCCGACGGAGACAAGATTCTCAACACAAGCTAGACAGCTAGGTCACACACATACATTGTCTGGCACTGAACTACCACACATGTGGAAGGCTTAGAGCTTGTCCTAGCTGGAGACGTGCTACACTGGTGGGAGATACCTTGTTGGGGAAAATCCCCGTAGGTTGGCGCCGGATCTCGCTATCCTGCGGGGGAAAATAACCGCCACCTCCGGCGATAAAACCTTGCACTACAATTAATTACGGAACTAATGACGCAGTTAACGCACTTGGATTCACTAATCAATCAATCAATCAAAGTGAATTTTTTTGTTTGCAGTTATCCAAAATACAGAGAGTCCATCTAAAAATTAATCCGCGCTATTTTATAAGCGTACTTTGCTCCACTCGAGATACAAATTGAAAAATTTTGAACAATTAAAAAAAATGTTGAAAATGTCTAGAAGTAATTTAATGCACCCCCAGAAATCAAATTATTAGTTTCAATTTAGTGGGTCCTTGAGTTCAACCAGATCGATGGGGGAAATATCAATTTTGGAGAAAATCGTCAGAACGGTTTAGGCGCTACTGTTGATGAACTAGAAAATGACCCGAAGGTTTAACCGTAAACCAATTTTCCGGCATCAAGAACCCCCCAAACCCGGATTCTAACTAGAGGAAGTCATTTACTACATTTAGTACATATAAGAACCAGGTTTATTCACTTTTTCAATATCATGGGGTCACGATAAAAGTGTTTCTAGCGGTAAATCGTCACTTTGCGCTGCAGAATTAGAGTAATTTATCTTTAGTAGTACGCAAGAGTGTAAAATTTGAAAATTGATTTTAACTGCTTTTCAAAATACATATTTGTTAACTTACTATATTTTAGAAATGTGCCGTTTATGAAAAGCATAAGTAAATATAGTAGGTGGTCTTGTTCGAGGTTTGAGAACTCATGGTTCAATGTAAAAGTTTGAAAATGTTAGATCTAGTGTATTTAATCAGTTTCATCGATGACATATCTTAACAAGATAGTTGTCTTTAATGAAGATTTCATTATGTCGTTTATAATACCGGTAATTTTGTTTCTAATTTTTGCACTGGATCGCGTTCAGTCGCTCTACTAATATATTAACCTGAGAGGATTGTTAGACGATTTACGGTTAAGGACCAAATTAAAGACCAATGTAAGGAAGGTCCTGTTAATTCTCACATTAACCAGTCGGTATGAATAAAACTCTACAAATAACGATGATCGGATACTATATTGGCTGTCCGGAATTTATCGTGTAGTAGGCACCATTGCCCACATTTCCGACGTCATTCTGCGACCTTCTTGAGGGTAAGATGTGGATCGGCTTCTTCAGAGCGAAGCTGTTTCTTCTTCGGAATTGATCTACCCATTGTGATAAAACGCAAACGCTAACCACTATTTCGCGAATTAGATTCGGACATTAGCCGTAACATAGAAAGTAACGCGGAGAAAATAGTAGTTCTTGCCTCATGAAAAGTGTAGAGTGAACACAATGGTCAAAGCCAAGTTGAGGTTAAAAAAAAAGCTGAACTTGAGTCTTGTTGCGCAGGGTGAGCACGTCGCCCGCGGCGTTGGTCTACTACCGGCCGTCCTCGTGCCCCGCGGGCAGCCTGCCCGTGCCGGTGATGCGCCCCGCCACCGCCGCGGACCCCGCCCTCACCTTCGAGCTGCTGGCGGAGGGCAGCGCGCGCGCCGCGGCGCTCGGGGACCCCAACGCCACCTTCGCTGCCGAAGCAGTGTGTGCCGACCGCGTGCTGGAGGCGGGTCCCCAAGGTAAGCCTCATTTACGAGAATGAGCAGTGCTCGATGCTTCGCCGCCCACGCCGTATCTGCCGGCCGCGTGCTGGAGACGGGTCCCCAAGGTAAGAATCACCCACTGGAATACGCGGTGCTCGATGCTTTGCCGCCCACGCCGTGTGTGCCGACTGTGTGCTGGAGGCGGGTCCCCAAGGTAAGGCTCACTCACAGGAACACGCAGTGCTCGATGGACAGTTAGTTATTAATTTATTTTTTTAAAATGAGAAACACAATAAACAGATTGAATTAGTATTAAAATTATATTTTACTAAAAACTAGAATACACGAGTGAATACATATAAAACGGCTTAGTTGGCTCAGTGCCTCTGACCAGGAGGTCTTAGGTTAGAGTCCCGACGTTGGCAAGATTTTCGAAACTATCTACATAGCTAAGTCGAATTCAGTCGCTGCCTGGAGGATAATTCTAGCGGCCGGCAGCTCTGATCGGTAGTTTTCTATGGTTCCTCGGATCACTTCCAGGCGAATGCCGGAGCAGAAAACTGCAAAACAAATTGCAACTTCCCCTTTCTTGTTTTTCCTCAATCCTTACTTACACACACACACTAATCTGCATTACACCAGCATCATGTCGTGAGACCAGCAGAGATTGTCCCGGCTGGGGCGGTGTCCCGCTGGTGGGAGATACCTTGTTAGGGAAAATCCATGTAAGCCTACGTAGGTCGGCGCCATCCAGCTGGTAAAGAACACCACCACCTCACGCGATAAAAACATGCACTACACTTACGGGATGAATTACCTTAGCCGTTGACGCGGCCGGAGTCACTAATTAGTCAATCAAAGAGTAAATATATGTTGCTAGGAAAAATATCAGATAGAGAATTAGTTTAAAACCAGTAAAAATGAGTGTGGTGACATCATTTTTAACTTCTCCAGGTGACAACCAAAGTGACGTCACCGACTCTGACGACATTTCGCTCATAGCTTGCGAAGGAAACTTTGCTCTGTCACGACACTGACATTTTGCATTCTGTCAACAATATTCACATACCTCTTTCCTGTTTCCATGAAAGACAGTCTCTTACTGCTAGATGATTCTGATGGAGCCGCACGAGGATGCCAAATTTCTAATGATGTTCGGAGAGGCTATAATCCTGTAAAACGATGTTGTATAAACATATCTTTGATCTTGGAGAAATAACGGCCATGGAGAAGAATTCATAAGTTCGGGTGTATTACCAAAAACTTAGAAAGACTCTGGATATATTGGTTTAAGGTAGTTTAAATGAGTTAAAAAGTACACCACCTGAGGGAAAATTTTAGTCATAAATTCAACTACTATTTGAGTATCAAAATCCATGGACTAAAGAAGTCACGTGCCAAAAATATTACGCAAACTACATGATTATTAACGTTTATACCCGAGCCTTTGAAATTGCAAAATCCTTTGAACTAAAAATGATATACATAAAGTTGTAAAGTATCGGGAGATTTCTCCACAGATATAATTGTCAAAGGAAGGCTAATTTATTCTTCAAATCTTTAGACACAGTCGATCAAAGCAAACTATTTTTTAATGAGTACGTTCCAAGAATAAGATTTGAGGTTAGAAGTTTAATGTGTACGTTAACACCTATTACAGAGTCATGATAAACTTTTCTCGGTGCTGTCAATTACACAAGTGCGAAGAAAGAAAAATATAATTTCCTTTTCACTGATGCCATTTCAAAATTCAAATGGGAGTCCATAACATTTCGAAGAGACATCGTCGTTGAAGGAAAAATCATTTGTTTACACGTCAAGTGCTAATGTAAATTTTAGAGTTAGAATAAAAATTTGATTTTTTTAAAGCAGTATTACGTATTTTTTTACTAAATTGCTTTTAAATGTCATTTTTCATTGTTAACATGAATTTCTGCACCCTTACGTCAGCTAAATTAAGTGCGATTATGAATGCCTATTTTAGTAAAAAATTATGCCCTTTCGCCTGCGTATATTAGGTACAGTACATGCCCGACTGATATGACTGTGCGCCACTATTGGAACCTTTGGGCCTATAGTGCGCCACTATTGCGGCCTTCTGATTCTATGGGGAACCACTATTGTGGCCTTCTGATATGAGTGTATCTGCCTCCTGCTGCAGGCACCACCCTAGCACCGCGCGAGGTCCTGCTGGTGTGCCTGCCGATGACGACGGGCAGCACGTCGTGGGAGCGCGGGCGGTGGCGGCGGGGGCCTGGGGCAGGGCGGCGGGGGCGGCCGGCGCCGGGCGTGAGGCCCGGGGCTGGGCAGCGGGGGCGCGTGCATGGCGGTGACGGTGACGGTGGGCGGGGCCTTCCTGGCCGCCACGCTGCTCGCCTACGCGCTGCTGCCGGCCGACGCGCGGTCGGGCGCCTTCCGCCTGCAGGCGGCGCAGGCGGCGGCGCTGCTCGCGGGCCACGTGGTGCTGGCCGCGTCGCTGCTCGCCGCCGAGGACGTCTCCTGGCCGGTCTGCTACGCGCAGGGTGAGTGATTTTTTTTCTTTTCCTTCCTTTCTTACAGGGTCACGTGAACTTTCCGACATACATATTTCAAACAATTGTGGTCGAATAAAATTTCAAGTAAAATCCAAATTTAATACTGTCAGTTCGTCAACAATACCACAATATAACTTAGACGTCTGCTGTTCCAAAATACGGTTCAAATTACACAACAGTGACAGACCCAATAATCAGGAGAATATCCGTTAACGTATAAAGTACAAAAGTAGAATGAACTATGTACGCGAGGCGCGTGGAAAGTGAAGGCGACCGCTCTTTATATTTCGTCTATGTCAGTGGAGAGGTTGTCTTCCCGTCATCGCCGCGCGTCATTTGACGCGCCGCCTGCCGCTGTCCACCCGTGCCCTTCTTCTCAGCGAGGGAGGGGTAGCTGTCCCGCCTGGTTGGTGGGAGACGTCGATATGATATTTTTTCTCCTCGGCCTTCAGGTGTCCCTTTTTCCTTCTGGTCTATAGTTCTATGAGTAGTCTGGACTGTGGTAGCGATGAATGACAGTCGGTTCATGGCGTTTTTGATACATTATTGTACCATTTTATTTTATTTTCCAGAATGTTTACATATAATTCTGTGATTTTTAAAACATCTCTTATTTTAGAACTACTAGTGTTTTTGAGTAGCGACCACCTTAGTGTGTTGCTCAGAAATTTCATTTCTGTTGTGTAATTTTTTTTCATCTTCGTGTTAACCCATATTTTTCTGATTTTCGTGTGTACTCCCTAGCATACACAAGTGTGACTCATTCTACAATTGCAATTGCAGGTCATTTGCACGAAATTCTCCCTGTCGCGTCCCCTGTGGCAGAGAACCACAACTCAAAGCATTAGCACTACAAGAACCTGAGCCGTCATGTTGACGGACTATGTAGTGTTCAATTGTCGATTCTAACCGTAAAGTAAACGAAAGGAGCCTATTCTCTAAGTATCATCCATTAGTTATCAAATAGAATAAAAAGTTTAAACAATATTTAACCAGATTTTTTTAAAAGATACATTGCAACTAGAACGCTCCGTTTCAGTTAAGATGACGGTGCTCATTCAGCAGCGTTCAGTAATGTTTAGCGAAATAAACGAGCATACACGGTGGTATGTTTCGCGTCCTTCTTCCAGTTTGAAGAATGTCAGAATATGAGAACTTGACCGAATATTACATAATATATAGTATTATTATAATACTATATCAATCAAGAAACAGATGCGTAAGGCGACCAGGTAGGTGTTCAGTGAGGGAATGGTCACACGTGTTTCAACCGTGATCAAGAGCACACAGAATTTAAACTTCTGTACAAGGTCGTGTGCGTGTCGATGGGTGGCAGGGTGGAACTCACTCACGACGCGTGTTAGGCGTCTCACGTATGTCACACACCAACGCGGTCGTCATACATCAACGATGCTCGACTCGTTTCTTTACTTATTACAGAAGGTCACGCTTGCAACATCAGAGTAGTGAGATGAGATTTGTAGAGTTCACTAACAACTTTGCACCGAGTAATTTCAATGCTCAGAAAAAGATGAGCAACGATCTTCAATTCCATTTTGTCATAATGGCGCGGTTTACTGCGATGACTGACTAAAGCGCCGTCATGATTGTTTCTGTCCTTACTTGGCTCTCTGAAAGTTTTACTTCCACCCAGGTTCCCTGAAAGCCCCCCTTTTTTCCCTTGCCCTTTCCAATACACGGTTTCTGCAGTGCTTTTCTGCTAAGTTTCTGGAACCTTCCTGCTTTTACGGTTTCCAATTCGTCGGGATGCTAAACGTTCGACAACATTGTGACAGTATCGTCTAATGATTTCGTGATGGAAATCCGTCCTGGAATTTTGATTACTTCTATGCTGTGATTTGAGACTATGTCCCACCGCTCCAGGTGACTTCGTAATAAGGTTTGATAGGTTCTTCGCGATACGCTTTCTTTCTGTCTTGGAAAGTGGAAAGTAGCCTGCTTGAACTCCGCGCGCGTGGCTAATCCATTGGGCTATTGTGCTCTGAGGAACACTTTGTCTTGCGCTGGCCTTGCACGATGTCTTAAATTAATGGTTATTGGGGGAAGATGAGGACTTCGAAACTTGGGTTGACAGGTAATCGGTCAAGGAAAGGGTTTATGGCCTTCCTCTGAAAAGAGTCGTGTTCTTTTGTTGTTTCTTTTACTTATTTAAGGTCGCTTTTCAGCTACTAATACCATTTAAGTAGCATTAGGGGTAACTGTAATACGCTCATACACACACATACACATACATACGCAAACATCCATGCCTCGGGCGGGATTCGAACCCGCTACACTTCAGGCATGAGCGAGCTACGGCTTTTCAGCCTTAGCGATTTAGGCTATCCCGGTCAATGTCGAGCTAGCTTTGTGAAGCGACAGAGCTAGCAAAAGCTCTCTCTCTGTCTCTGCTCAAAGCGTGGGTCATTCTGAAGCCAGGGCGGAGGTCGTACCGTGGTTGCGGGCACATGGAAGACGCAAAAGCGCCTTCCGTTGTAACGTGTTTAGTATGCAGTTACGGAAACTTAGATATGTCCCTAATTTCGAAATCCTTGTCATTGTCTGGCCTAGAATCCTAGGAACTCCCAGTCAGACACCCCAGTAATCCGTATCGCAAACGTAGATATAGTATAGTAACTGAATATTCTGCGTAGTTCGATTCTAGTGAAAGAAACTTAAAATGATGTTTGGTGTCCCCGAATGGGTGTTGTAAAAGCGCAGACACTGCACACTTCTCTCTATTTCTTGCTCAAATATGCGCATTTGAGTGAGGCAGCGCACGCTTGTATTTAAACCTGAACGTGACTGGGATCCAAACAGTGGGGAAATCCACAACCAAGAGCCAGAAGATCTTGAGAGGCAGACTATCCTTGGGACGAAGAATTTAATTTTGTTTTAATATTCAATTAAGAATAACGCTGATTGTGGTAGATTGTTAATCAATATATTTAATACATGTCGTTATTGGAAATTTTTAGCAGATGAATAAAATAATTGAAACAACACACAGTTTTTCAGTTTTTCGATTCTGGTCCTCATTTAGATGATCTTATGATGCGGACCATAATTAAAAATGACTTGAAAATGGGGACCATTATTTATGTGACCTGTAAATGAAACCATCAACAACAATCAGCGTTATTCTTAATCGAATATTGAAACATAAAAATAAGTCCTTCATCTCAAGTTGGTCATCTGATTATCAGCGAATACACATCATTCCCAGTGGTATCCATATGAAATAAATTGCGTCTAGCTTAAGAACATTGACTTTAATGAATTTACATTTACAAAATTTACTGTTGAGGTGTTCGAACGTAAGTCATGTTAACTGAAATTTAACATTTCAAAAGAATATTGAAATTGGGCAAATTAAGGCGCACACTAGATTTTTCTCAGGGGAGGTGGGGACATAGATCTATGCTATGTGTATTATATATATATATATATATATATATATATATATATATATAATTTGTTCAGTCGACTTCGTTTTCTTATAAATAATTTTCATTTATACTGAGTACACATATATTTTTTGTCTTATAGTTTTTTAGTTAAAACTTGGTGCAGCTTTGATAACAACTGATATATTGAATGGCTTCCGCGAGTACACAACATTTGAAAATAGTTGTACTTTTGAATATGAGTCATTGGCGTCTGAAATGGGTTGAAGCCCTCTCTGAAATGGACTAAGCCCTCTCCCCCTCCCACCGGGTTTCGTCAGAATGAGAAATCACTTTTAAGAAATTAGGCGAGTAAAGCATAGCATTTAATTTTTGGAATGTCTAACTATGTAGGGAGACGTGATGCAAAAACCATTCTTGAAGATAAAAGAGAGAGCTACTACTAATTACATTTCAAAACAATAATCCGAATTTAATCCAGAATGTCAGTTGCCAACATTTATAGCCGAAGCAATTGTTGACAATGAACAAAAATGCAGGATACATTATTTTACATTTACTCTGGGATGTAAACTAGGGATCATCCTGACATAGGCATTAAGATGGCTTGAAGATGGGAACGTTCATTCCGAAAAACGTCGTTGAAAAACTGTTTTAATAATTAATAGTTTTAATTATTTTATACATTGTTAAAAATTTCCAATAATGACACCATTTATTAACTATATTCATTAACGATCTACAACATGATATTTGATTCAAAGTGCATAGTTTAATTAAACTGTCAATAAATAACATGAGACAAAAAAATTGCTACTTATGTTATTGTTTACAAAACTATAATATGAACTACATATTCCCTCCTTATTTATTTAAATCCCATTTCACAATCGTTTCTTCCTTTCTTCTCTTATACTCTTTCATTACTTCCTTTTTTCCTCATTTTATTTTATTCTTCACTCTCAACTCTGATATCTTGTGTTTAATGTTCGCCTGGAGATACCTTCCTGATTAAGGCTACATTTACACAATCGCCAAAGACTCTCCTCACACACATACACACAAAAATCCTGTTGGTGCCACTGTTGTCACAAATTGAATTTTCTTTTGTAATATGAAATGTCACTTAATATGCGAGTAACTTATGTCCAAACACCTCAACTGTAGTGTTCTCAAGTGTTAGGTTTAGTGTTTACCCATTTACATATATTTCGTATGAATTCAACTTGGAATGGTGTGTATCCTCTATCATACTCAGATGGCCATCTTATTTCGTGGGGGTCTTGGGGGATCTGAGTCGTATTAAAGAGGAAACAGAGTTGGATCCAAAACCACGCATTTCAACTCTTCTTGCGCACACTTGAAGGTTTTTTCTGTTTTCAGCGCATTTCTTTTTTTTCTGCGTTTCCAAAGGCTTAAGAGTTTGGGTTCAAGGAAAATCGAGGAGCTAAAAAGTTACAGAAGAATTGCAAATAACTCTTTTTAACCTCACACGATGACGGAAAGACTTTTCCAAGCTGATTCCAGGTACGTCAACTGCTGAGGTTATTAGCCCCGTAAGTGTAGTGTATGATATTTGTCGCAGTGGATGGCAGAAATCTTCCCTCACTGGTTGGCGAGATCCGTCACCGACCAACTTGTTGACGGATTGTGGGTTTTTCCGCAACCAGGTATCTCCCACCAGCGGGGCACCGCCCCAGCCGAGATAAGATTATAATCTCCCTACCACTCTCCCGGAATGTGTGGTAGTGTAGTGAATGTAAGTGTGATGATAGGGCAACGAAGAGGAAGGACGGAAATGTATTCTTGGCTATCCGGGATGAGCCGCGTGGGCCAAGGAAGGATCGCGCACGGTCAGTGGCCCGTTCGTTAGGGTATTCTTCCGGCATTCTTCTGGTGTTGATCGGAGAAACCAGTGAAAATTGCGATCAGAGCAGCCGGCCGCTAGAATTCGCCTCCAGTCTCCAGCTGAACTCGCCCTACCTATGTAGCTAATGCCAAAAATCCTGCCGCCGTGGGGACCCGAACTCTAAGACTTCGCCGTCAAAAGCGCTGCAATATCACCTGCTACCCTGAGCCACCTAAGCCGGTAACCTGAAAAGACGTACGTTCGAGGAAAGAGGCATTAGCTCCTCCAGGGGGCCAAGACCGTCAGCGTGTGGAGCGCGACTGCTTGCGGAGACAATGGTGGGCGTGCAGGGCCCGGAATTCCCGCCAGGGGCCGCCCAGCGTCCGCCGCCTCCGCCCACGCCGCCGGCGCCGCAGCCAGCGCCTCCCAGCGCACGCCCGTGACCTTTCGCGGGGCCGCTGGCGCGCGCGGATCACGAGTCCCCGCTTCACAGCCCCGATGCGAGGCAGAAGATACAGGCGGATTTACGAGTTTCTATTAAGTTGTGAAGTGTTTGCAGCGTTTCAAGGGTTTAACACGGCATAAGGAAGAAGTATTCAAGTAAATCTCACACGTTCACTGAGCTGTCACGTTCGAAAAAATGTCTATTTTTAGGAAGAATGTACATCATTTGAACAGTGATATTAACCGTGGCTATTATCTTCACTAGTATTTGAAAATTTACATAACTACACAATAACGGAAGTTCAACTACATGAAATCATTTTGAAAACTCAACTTTTTCATGATGACAAATTCTTCGGAAATATTATAGTCCAAATATTACTGGGAATTGTAGACTAAAATATACTTATTAATCACTCTAAAGGTAAGAATCAGATAACACTAAGAGCACATTTACTCAGCAAAGGGTTAAGACTGCCGTCATTAAGCGAAGGAAATCCTCCGAATTTCATTCCTTTGGTACTTACGTTATGTTTCGACTCGAATATAGATTACAATCGCCAAATCAATTTCCCTTCATGTTTTGCTTTTGAAAGCTCATTTGCCTTGTTGATCAATGCGCCCTTGAAGTGTCAATGCCACCGCCCCGTTAGTTCTCCTTGTCAGCACTTATCGATTGCTCGAACTCCTCCGCAGTTAGCTGCGGCCCGGAATTTCCTTCAGCATCCGGGTTGCTGCTGTTCAAAGAATTGTCGTGAGGTATGGATATTATTTATCAACTCCCATCAGATCTGAGGCTACGACGTAACTGTTTTTCAGAAGACTATTGTCTTACGAAAAACTCTCAACTCGGCAATTAATAAATATTTCGTTTTAGATATTTCCACCACAGTTTGACAATGAGATTGCAGATGCAAGATGCAAAGTAAAACAACTAAAATAAATAGATTGTTACTATACAGATTAGCTGAAAAGCCATGAATTGATAATAATAGGTTAGCAAATCGTTGTTTCTACCGATTGTTAGGACATTACAAATCTATCCGAGAAAATTCAGTTTGTTTCATAGAAAAAATAAATCTGATTATTTGTAGTAAGTAATACAACTATTAAACATATAAACAAAATTGTCAAGAAAGTGTAATGTATTTAATTATTTATAGCGAAGTTCACATCCTAGTTTTCATTTCCGTAGAACACCGCTAGTTCACTGGATGATAATAAATTTTACTTTAGAATTACACTATTTTTGTTTTTTTGATTTTTACGACTATGGTGAAGTAAAACTACAGAGACTTTTCAACATTATTTTCTGCATAAAAATTCTTTTAAACATTAAGAATGTTTCTTAAAATGGTAGAGAAGGAACTTGAATTAGGTCAGAGAACGTGTTAACTTCGAGGACGGTTAGGTAATCAAAAATCGTCCGACACTTTAGGATACCGTTTGAATTCCACTACCTGTATTGTTCAACCGTTTCTGCTTTCGCCATTCATCTTTTTTTCATCTCTACCCTTTTTATTCTTTTCATTCGAGATTAAAGCATTGAATTTCGAGCACCCGCAACTAAAATGACCCCCTTGAAAAATAAATTCAAAACTTAAGCCCAAAGAATCCTCATGGACTTCTTTATGCCTGTGAAAATGATGAATCATTTTGGCACTTCAAGCACACGATCTCACATGGTCTATTTTCTTCTAGAGGTGACTTCGCAATTTAACACGAGTAGATATTTCGAACTTACGATCAAAGGAACAATTAACCGGCATTGTATTTTGCTTCATTGACAGCAGTCAATGAAGCAATATATATATAGTCATATGTTATAGTTAAAGAAAGCAACATTAAATAATCACTTTTATAATAGAATATAATAATTTTACAGCTAACCAGTCAAAAACGACAGTTACAACTTTAGCAATTGACTTCCTTTATTTATTGACACTGAACTGAAATATTGTTCAGAATCAAATATTTCTTCGGATTTAGAGGAAAAGAGCACTTACATGTATGTGTATGGCATTATCCATAATTTATTTTTTTCTCGCCCTTACTTCGTAAAATGAGAAAGTACTGAAATCGTGCACCGGAAAACTACTTTTCAGTACGAAAACTCTTATTGTCGTGTTCTGGTAAAAGTTGATAAATCGTGTTCCTATATTTAGTAAATTACTACCTCTACCAAGTGTAGTTACTCGTAGAATCCATGTTTTGTGGGTACTTAATACCGATAAATCGATTGACGGCAAAACGTGTCTGTTCGTCCGTAGTCAACACTAGCTCCTACACCGTTCAGCCAATTTTCTCCGAAATTGATACTTCCCAATCGATCTGAACGATATTAAGTATTTGGGAGTTTCAAACACATTTTTTTGAGAGTACTTTAAATGATGCCTCAACTACATTTTCAAAATTTTCTCAAAAATGTGCTCCAAATTTTTCGATTAATCTTTGTCCTTGGTTAGCGTAAAGGAAGCTTATTAGAAAAGCGCAGGTCTCCTTTCGTTAAAATAACTGATTTTCTGAATATTGCAAAAATTCATTTTTTCACGTCTTCCTACAACCACAATGCTGAAAAAAGATATTTTTTTCTTTATGGAATTGTGTTTTCAGGACAGATATTAAAATATAGTCCAGTACATTTTTTTGAAAAAAAGAGTAATTTCCTCGTAACATTTACGAAATAAGGCAATTTTTACCTTTTTAAAGCATTTATTTCTCAAAAATGGCTCACTTTTTTTCTTTAAATTTTCTCCTCGTATGTATCGAAGGACTTAAAAAACCGGTCCTAGTGTCTCTTTTCTGGCAAACTCTACATTTTCCAAAATGCAAAATTTTTACTTTCCAACTACAAATTGAAGATAGAGATTTCTTTTTTAAATAAAATGTTTTAAAACTTATCTCTTTAAAAAAGGTCTTGTACAAGTCTTTGAAAAAAACAGTACTTTTTGCAAAATTTGTGCTTGAAA